TGTGTAAAAATCGATTTTTATTTATTTCGTGAATAAATATCAATGTATCACTTATACTTATAACATACGTCTTACTACTGCGGATGACCATATTTCACTACTTTGACCCTTTATATCTTGAAAAATATTGACTTTTGGGACTTGATACAATGATAACTTTTTATCAGCATGGCAAAAACTATAACATAGTGAAATTTCAGCCAATTTGACCGAAAACCATTTTCCATAGGTTTTGTGCGGGATCCTTTGAAAGGAAATTTAAGTTATAGAGGGGCACGCGATTTTTCCGCGCGGTCGCCGCCCGCGAACAATACGGAGACACAAAAAAGTTCCTCTAAGATCGACATACTTTCCCGCACGATCTTATCACGGGGACATTAAGGAGTGACTCGACGATTTCGACAATACTGTTGCGCTTATGTGCAGCGGTCCGTAGAGTATTCATCGTGAAGTAACAATAATTCCGGGTTACAGCGTCGTGTCAAAGTCACTCTCCTCGCGAAATGAATCGAAAATGTCAGGCGGACATGCGGCCGGCCGGCGTGCCGGATCGGCGGCGTCGGCCAATCTGGCTGGCAACAATGGTATTAAGCCGCGAATACCTCGCGCGGTTTACGCCGATCTCCCGTCCTTCGGTACGGTGAAAGTCCGCAAGAATTCGCCCTCGATCGTGTTGCGAACTTCACATTGAGATCCTCCTGACGTGTCACGATCTCGCTCGAAACCAGTAACGCCGGTAACGAACACCTCGCGTTACCTCGTAAAACAGCAACGAGCAGCGCGATCGTGCCGTTGTCCGCCCTACGTCGGAGAGTCACGACTCTTCATCCAAATAAAAGGCGCACCTCGAACTTTATCATTTGCGATCGGATCGCGTGCGATCGACGAAATTCGACGCTCTGCTCTAACGACGACTCAACGCCGAGCGATTTGTTAATACCGGCCAATCTTCTTGCGCAACGACACGAGAGACTGAGAGTAAGAAATGTGGGCGTCTTTTAGCTATGTCTGAACACTTCGACGTCGATTTAAGGGTTAAGGTTAAGGGCATACTGAATGCCGACGTAAAGCAGCACTTTCGCACTTTATACTGGCCTACTTGATGGTATAGAATTGCAAATGCTCGTTCAGAGTGAGAATACAAGTGTCAATAAATGACAAAGTATCCTATAGTTATACCAAAGACAAAGAGACATTCGAAACATTTGTTTTAATTTTCTAAGTAACATGTGGTACTCCGTCGTTCATTTACATTTGTACACGCACTCTGTGTGTACACACTGCAAATCCAAGTGTGTTATTTTTAAACGTGTAAGCATGTCATTTGACTGGAATTCTACTTCTTTTGCTTGGTTTTAAATCACGTCGTTTGACGCACGTTTGAAACACGTATAAATTATAATTTAATATGTGTAAACGTATCAAATGGCATGACTTGGAACTATAGAAAACGCGTAAAAAGAGGTTCAGCCAAAATAACACACTTGGACTTACGGTGTAAAATATCTGCAATTCTACACGATCAAAGTGGAAAACGGTACAAAATACGAAGCTGCCTTACGTCGGTATCCAGCAGCCTGTCAATGTATAACGGACTCACGCGAAGACAGTAATGTCTTCTGCTCAGTCTTTCACCTTTTTCCCGCGATACGTACGACATGTATCCTCGATACATTTTTGCGTTGAGGCGAACTTTGACGGTTCTGCAAATAGATGCGTTGAATCACCGGCGCTGATCTTCTTTTTCTGTCTCTCTCTCTCTCTCTCTCTCTCTCTCTCTCTCTCTCTCTCTCTCTCTCTCTCTCT